TTTTTTTTTTCTTATTTTTTAACTTTTATTGGCTGTTGCCTGTTGTCAAAAGACCAACAGAAGAAAAAAAAAAACCCGTGAATTTAAACAGCATTGTAAATTCAAATTATCTGTGATTTTACAAAGTTAGTGACTTCATCATCCTAGACTTTTTTCACAAATATGATATTGTAAGGCACAAAAGGGAAATAGTCACATTTGTAGGTTTGATTGTTCCAGTACAGGCTGTTGATGAATCGGTTGCATGAAGGGAATTTTTTATTCTCGAAGCTATGTTTTCTGGCTGCAGAGGCCTAAAGTTAAATACAGTTGACAGTGAAATGCTTGTTTTTGTGCTAAAATTCCATAGTCTGTTGTGACTAATTTTATGCTTCTGGAGACCAACAGTGCGGCTACTGGGGGGTTCAATTCCCTTTAGGCATAGAAGGTTGTTCTCCAGCCTGTATTATGGAACAAATGAGATTATAACTACAATTTACAGACTTTATGAACTCACTGCCCTTCCTTATAATATAAGATTTGTTAAAACTCCAGAGAAAGATGGTGATGCACTTTAAGCAATGGCAGATACCTTAAATATTAGTCAAGATTTGTTTTTGTTTATTTTATATTTGTTGTTCTTGTTGGACCTTAAGTGAACTGGCTAAATCTCCTTGGGGATCTGAAATATTTTAACAGTAAATTTGTTTGCATTTAAGCTTGTTAAGAATGTACATGTTGAGTGAAGTTACTACTGAGGGGAGTGCACTTATTTATTTTTTCACTGAAATTAAAAAAAAAAAAAGAAAAATAATTTAAAAAAATGAATACAACAACGTCAGTTATAACCCATACCACCCTCCCTCCAAAAAAAGAAAAAGCCTACCAAAGCTCAAATAAATACGTTCAGTTACAGAAAGCAGAAATGTCTGCTCATAAAGAACAAATATATAGATTTTTATTTTTTGATGAATAATTTATATCTATAATCCGCATTTACTTAACCCTACATCGGGTGCCAACTTCTGTTCTCCAATTTGTCACCGAACATGTGGAAGATACCTCAAAGATGGCATTGGATGTTCTAATGAGTTGGTTTACAATTCTGGACTGTAAAAGGAGCCCGTTACTGTATCAGTACTCCGTTTGCTGTCCTTAAGGGTCAGTCCCCAAAACCGTTTTGGATAGGTCCAGGTGGTTTGAGTCACCCACTAGATTGTAACAACTATTGAGAGCTACTGTGGTGTCTACATATTGTGGTGATGTCTCATTCTGTGTTATTGGAGGACAGGTCTGATTCAACACACAAAGTACCCACACATGGCTTATTATTTTTGGGTAGACTGACCCTTTAAGGTACCCACACATGCAGTCAATCGTTTGCACAGTATGAATGAGTTCATGCAACAATCTGTATGCAGTAAAGCCGTTTGTAACACATCTCGGATGAGTACGGCAACCTTCATCTGTCAAGGTTGGAAAATCTTGGCTGGGCCCCAGGAATAGTTAATCTGGGCATTACAACTTATCAGGCGAGGGTCTAATTGTTACAACAGAAATGACCAGAAGCCCTTTTTCATGGGTATCTTTAGAGTAGAGTGGCAGCACACAACAGTTACGGGATTAAGATTTGCAGATGACCCTTTTGCAGATAAAGGGCTGAAGAAGGGCTTCCTTCAGCATAAAGTCACTTTACATACCTGCATTGTCTGTACGTCTTAGGCAGTGTGGCAAAATTTGATCTGGGTAAACGTCATCTGTTACCGAGCAAGGAGGAAATTTGGGGAAACAGTTCTGTACCGGCTGTCCATCACAAATATTCCCGATTGCTTTGCACACTGTAGTTGGATCGCACTGCAATATTTCCCAATTTGTCTTATTAATCCCCTTTTTTTGCTTTTCACGGGTGAGCAGCAAACTATAGAAGTTTTAAACTATAGTTACTTATTAATTGTAGAAAACTTTGCATGCTAAAACCATCTAGAGCAGAATTTGGCTATGAAACTTCCAGTACCTAGTTTTCAAACTCTTTTGGCACTGAAGACTTTAAGCTGCTTATACCGCTGGATAATCTTTTGATGCCTTAACCTCTAAATGGCCAGATAGCACGAGCAGTAGACAGTTTTGCCAGTCCCTAGAGAAAAACAACCTTGAAGTAAAGTTTTTTTTTTTCTTCTATAAGATAATAGTTAATGGATATGAGGTTGATTTTTTTTTATTTTTATAAACATTACTGTGTGTTCTCTCTAAAAATAAAGCAAATTTAATAGTGACGGCCCACCCAGATTTAGCACATCAGGGTTGGCACTGATGAGCCAAGTCATGCTGATTCCTGCAGTGTGATCTCCACCTTGAAGTCTCGCACCGCTTGCTGCAGTATATCTGCCACATTTTCAATGCTATAAATTAAATGAAAAATCCATAATGGCTTATAAAACCTGCTTGAAATGACTACTGCACGTAGGCTAAGATGCCAAGGATAATGACTTCCAGAGATATTATAAAAGCCTGTACGTTGTGGGTGGGTGGGTGGGCCCTTTAAGCATTATAATAACTACACTTTCCCTAATTTCCATTGATTGTGTAATGCACATTCGTTTGCTGCTACCCACCACAAAATTGTGGTTATTAGCCTCTATAGCCTTAAGCAATGGACAAATTAAGGAATAGATGTAAGTATATTGCTACCATAACAATGAGGACAAGCAAGTAAGATTGATGGAGAAAAAAAAATCGATTCTAACTTTCTGAATAACCCATATCCTTTTATTCCACCAACTTTCTTTGTTACGTATAAACACTGCAGTAAGCCATTTTGTGGACGGAACCAATATTCAACACCATACAATGTGCCTAGAACTAGAATTCGCAAAATAAGTAACTCTCAAGGCACTCATTGGCTCATATCTTAGGCCTCATTCACTCGTGAAAAGGCTGGCACGTACAGCTCCGTGCATCTGCATGCATGGCCGTGTCGGGCAGCTCCCGGGGAGGACAGGTGCTGCGTGTGATTAGTACGCAGCCCCTGTCCTTCTCTTTGGGAGTAGGTGCAGATGTCCGTACTCGTACGCTGATGGGATGGATCCTGTCTGCGTCCGAGCCGGGACATCCGCACATGTATGGACCTGCACTTGAGATGAGCGTATGGCTGCATACTCCCATAGAGGAGGACATGGGCTGCATACTAATCACATGCAGCACATGTCCTTCCCGAGAGATGCCCGATACGGCCGTGCACGCAGCACGGAGCTGTACGTCCCGACCTTTTCTCGTGTGAATGAGGCCTTAGTGGTATTCCGCATTCCCTGTGAAATGATTGACATGACACTTCTAAAAAGTGTCCCACCCAAATCAATGGCTTCCTGAAGTGTGCACAGACAGCCAGCCAGTTCACTCTATCTGAAACATGCACCCTCTACTATATTCTGTATACTGGAGGGCGTACTCATGATGTATGTTGTTTTAGGTCTTAGGACTGTCATAAGAGTTTACAGTGCAATTTAGTCCAAGTAGGTTTATTCTAGCTGTTAGCATAGAGAAGCGGGTGTTGGCTCTTCTAATTAACCAGCTCTTTAAATACTGCAGATCTAGCTGGTTTTCAGAGAGTGGATTGTACTGCTTCAGTGCTATTTCATCATCCTCGGTTGTGAAAACCAAAGACTTGCTTCAGTGCTGCTGCTTAACTCTTGAAGAGTCCATTTTTCACCTTCCAGAAGGACAGCTAAGTTAGAGTACAACGGTGAGGTATTTTGCTTTTTGTGAAGAAAGGAAGGCTCTTCCTCTTTTCCCCTCAGCATTAACATTGCTAAACAATGTCGCTGTTTTTGTTGTCCTGATGTTCATCACTCTAACAACAGAGGGGTTATGTTAAAATGGAAAGAAGTACTACTGATTAAAGCCCAACTCCAACCAACACTTTCCAGTTGGAACCCCTATCAGTTTTTTTTTTTGTTTTTTGTTTTTTATTTATTGTGTCTTGGGAGATTTCCCCTCACTTCCTGTGTGGTCGTGAAAGAAATCCCCTTAATAGGGACACAGTTAGAAAAAAAAATTGACTGAGATTCTGACTTTTCCCACTCTTTTTGTGCTCTACTCCACAATGTCTGTGTCCCCTTTAGAGACCTTCTGCTCATTTCCTGTTTTAATTGAAATGGAACAAAATCTCCTTCATGGGAACACAGCAATAAAAACTTTACAGATGTTATAACCCTCACCTTCTCTCCAAAAAAAGAAGAGTTTTGGTTGGAGTTGAGCTCTAATAAATCTTTGTAAGGGAGCTACTCATAAAATCTATCCCTGTCCAATAGAATTCCCGTACGCTTGTATATCTAGTCAACAGATTTTCTCAACTCCAGATCAATAGTTTATTTTAAACCTTTTGTACATTGGAAGAGATTATAGGTGGCTTGGGGTGTGCTAGAGTGCCATTCCTACCAGTAAACAGTGGCAAAGACTTAACTTTTTCACTGCCAGCGGTTAGCACAGAGTCGGAAAAAACCGAGGCTCCTAAAAGCTGCGAGATAACCAACAACAATTCTTGAGCTGCTGCCTCCAGCAGAGAAAAGGTTAACCCTCCAGAAATCAACCACTGTTTGGAAGCTTGACAAATATTTTCTTTTCCCTTTGTACATGACCTGCTGAATTTCGGTACAGCGATTTTGTAGCTAACTTATTTTTGT